AGCTGAACTGTTGTCCTGTTGTTGTTGAGGCCCCGCTCCGATGTGTCAGGATGTGTTAAACACAAATTAATCTTCCGCAGCTCTAATTGATTTCTCTCTGTGGGGGGAGGGGTCATTTCCTTTATTATTTAAAAATTCTTTCTCGTTTGCACCACCCTGCCATCGACCTGCTGACTCTCATTCCGGCGGTGAATACGCCCTCGCTAAGACCGGGGTGGGCAGCTTTTGGCGTTATTGACCGGTTGATCAACTTCAGATCGGTTCATAACAAGGTGTGTGTTTTTATTACTGTTTATTACTCATTCCATCGACGGTGTAGTTCAATCAAAGAACTGTTTGAAGACACGGTCACAGGAAGTCGACATCAGCCAGGTTTCCTTCTCTGTTTCACGTCAACATGGCTACATGTCATATCTAATGGTAAAGCAAAGAAGAAGTGAGGCTAATAACGGCGTTAGCGAGGTAAGCTTAGCCTAGCACCACCTTGGTAACGGCTAAAGCTTAGCCTTTTAACCTCTGGTCAGCTGGTAGTGGCCATTCTGATTTAAAGTTTTAGTTCCTCACCGGCCTTAAAGCCTGGGGGCGCCATAGAGCCTGCTGTTCAGAGTAGCGAGATGATCGTAGCAACTGGTAATAAAAGAGTCGCTATAGGGATTGTTACGTTTGTTTGTTTTTTTTTTTATAGACAGACAAACTGACGACAGCTTGATATTTGCTGGAGGTGGATATAATTCAGTTATTGTAATTTGACATTTTTACGATGTTTGAAGATTCAGGAATTTATTTGTCACATGATTAGTTAGTCGCTCCGATATAAATAGACAAGAAAGTCCCTGTTTAAAGACTGAAATGGAACAAAAAAACAATAAATTTTCTCTACTTTTGTTGACTTCGATTTTTAGATTTTACGCAGATTCACACTTTTGTTGACTTCGATTTTTAGATTTCACGCAGATTCACAAAAAAAAAAATTTTTTTTTTCCACAGCTACCATTCCCACCTGCGTCATCAGCAGACGCCTCTGACTGCTGCTGCTCTGATAATGAATTGAACGCAGACACAGGATTTATGTGTTGGCTTTAGCGTTGACACTCAAACGAGCGTGATGAAACCAGACGTCGTACTCCCCTCCAGTTAAAACCTCATTGGCCGCTCAAAGACTCATGGCCACGTTTAGGTTATTTTACAGCCAATTATGCTCCTTCATAATGATGTTTGAATGCTGCTCGTAAACACCAGTGATGAAAGTTTGTTTTGGAGGCAGTTACCGCTGTCTGTCTCTGACAAACGCACACGTTTATTTACAATAGTCTACGGAATATGTTTTATTTACTGATGACAAAAACTGTTACTTTGAGCATCTGA